CTGCTCCCTTAGAAAATCCAGTTTAGCTTTATACTTTCCATTAAAAGTTCATGGCCTCTAAGGCGCCATCTAGATCTCCTCCCAACCTTGGATTTCCAGTGATCCTACATTTGGTGGGTATAGTGAATCTTCTTACCCTTTCTGCTAACAGATAACAGCTGTTAACAACTCGTGCGACAATTTTTATGATATTCTTTGTTAAATGCATCACTCCCCACACCTAAAAAAGACAAATCAATGTGTTCACTCATGGCCACAAAAGTTATCTTGTTAATTGGCCCTAGCTAAATGCCTCATTTCATAAAGTCAAGGCTGGCTATAATTCTGTGGGTGAAATCTAGGAAAAGGAAGGAAAGAATATCTGGAAGAATGAGCTTTGAGTATTAGTGAAAGTGATGGAACTAACATGAGGTTACAATAAAAAATAAACTGAAGAAATGTTGCACTAACCTTGCGACAACAAGCAGACTGTCCAACTGCCAATGATCTACTGGTAAACATGAGTTGCTGACAGTATGCAGGGATTTTATCCAGACATCTTAAAAGTTCTTTTTTCATGGGATTTTCTTCTGCCTATCAACAGAGTGAAATGAAATTAAGGCAGTGGGAACAAAATTTATCATGAGCAACTTATAATTCACAATTTGTAACTCTTTCACTTTCAGATTTCGCTGAGTGTCTAATGATTTATGGAGAAGGAACATCCATTAGTTTTTTAAATAAAGGAAACAGTGTAGGATGACTCAGTGAAAATAGGAGTAACATGGTGCTATTAATCATAACCATTACAACTTCCTCAAATTTGATTGGTGCATTAACTGCTTCATTTTTCACTAATCATTCTGTAGGGTTGTAATCGGACAGTTGGCTGTAATCAGACGGTTACATTAGCCAATCCTATTAAGTGCACTCAGCTAAATCCACCAATCAAAGAAGTTTTTACAATAACCATAGCAACAACTACTTACCCTACCAAACTGGGGATTTTCCAAAATGGACAAATTTGAAACATTTAGACAGTGTCTCGGCCGGTGATATTTTCCCTCATTTTGGTCATTTGTTATTCAAAAGCTCCTTCACTTAAAAATAATGCATTTAATTTCTTGGAAATTATAATAGTTATGATTAATTGGTAACAGGACTTCGTCTCATCCAATTTGGACTGTAATCGTACTCGTGATTAAACATCGGACTACCGCTTTGCGGTTGTCTGATTTTGTTAATCACTTGTATGTTGATACTGAATGATATAATCAGTGATATACTTTTTCCTTAGGTCAGTCTTGGAAGGAGAAGTCACTGAAATTTACCTTTGAGGCATATTTTCTTGCTACTCTATAAAGTGCCCGACCTGCATCTGCAAAATTCTGCAACACAAGGAAAATAATAAAAATGATAAAAATCAGAGTAAAAAAACCTACCAAGTACATTTCTATTTAATAGGAGGGTTAAAACAACAGGCCACTAAAATAAAATAATATTTTAGTGGCCTGTTGTTTTAGCATAGATAGAGTATGGCTTGTATTCGTGACTGTGGGTACAGGGTTTTTAAAAAGACTTTGAATAAAAGGAACTGAGTATATAATATCGTGTCTAGAAAGGTTTTACATAACATAATAGAATTTATTTTGCACAAACAAATTCAAGGAAGCCTCCTTGCTATTTTTAAGCGCTTAAATTTAATGTATTTTCAGGAATTAGTACAATAGAACCCCGTTAACGTGACCACCGTTGGGCCATAAAATCTTGGTTGTAATAATGAATTGGCTGTGTTGACAGGGTCTTCAACGTAATAAAATGACTCAGTGATTTTTATGTTTGGGTCGAAAGAATAAAGTCATAATAACAAAGTGGTCATATAAACAGGGTGGTTGTAAGGCAGGGTTCCACCGTAGAAACAAAGTACCAAAAGTTTTGCTTTCATTGTTAGTTACCTGAGAGGCTTCAAACAATTCCTCTGTGCTTTGAAGTAGACCCTCTCCCCTATTGAATTTTAAAGTAGAGAATAAGCCAAAAATTAATTTAATGTGTTTTTCTACTGGTCCAGATTAGTTCTGTATGTTCATATTCCTATTCTTTTACCTACTTTCAAAGGACTACAGCATAGTTTTTACTGTACTGTTTCTTGCCAGCGTATAACAGTTTTAAGCATAATTCTATTCAG